TTTTTTTTTTTTTTTTTTTTTTCCGGCTGATAGGACAGCTTCCCTAGGCCATCTTCACTCTCGAATGCATTTGTCTTCCTTGTTCAAGATCTGCCCTTGGTGCTGTCATTCTCTTGCTTTTCGACCTATTTTTCTTTCCTCCACTTCTATCACATGATTGTCTTCAAATCATGGCTAAGGTGTAGTGTATCTTTCCTCTCCATTTTTCCAGCATCCATCCCAGCCCAGACCCTTGGTGTGCTCTTGGCTGGCCCCCTTCCCAGCCTCTCCTTGGTTGGGACATCTCTCCCTCCTCATTGATTTCTAGAAATACCTTTGGACTTACACAGATCTAGGTTCAAAACCAGTTCTACCATTACTCCTAGTTTACTAACTTGTTTGAGTTTCAATCACCTCATCTGCAATTGTGGATAAATTACAGCTTTGTTGCAAAAGTTAAATGACAATAATGCACAGTACCTACCTTAGTTCTTGAAACATGCTAGAACCACAACAAAATGATTATCTGTCCTTCTTTAAGGCACTTCTCCCCTCTCTCTTTTCTTGGGAAGGCTATTTTTCTGCTCAAAAGTTTCCAAAGGTGCCCTGTGATTTCCAGGATCAAATCCAAATTGCCCAACTAACATTCAGGTAGCAGGTCTTAGCTTTGTGTGAATATTCTGCCTGCTGAAAAGAAGCTCCTTGGCTGGCTTTCAAGGTTCCCAGGGTTAAAGCATCTCCTTTAAAGGCCTTGTATTGGGAAGGCTTCTGCTAAAATGCAGGTGCTTTCCCTTTTATGGATTAACCTGTCCCCATCACTCTCTGTGACCTGGCAGGGGCAGGACCCTCAGGCAGGAACAAATTCCAGTGCCACAGGCATCAGACAGGAACCCAAATGGGTGTGCTACAGAGTGTCAGAGAAATGAGGAGAGTGGGTCCAGAGGCACGTTGGGGACCCTGGTGTATTCGTTTCCTGTTGCTGCCATAACAAATTACCACAAACTTGGTGGCATAAGACAACATGAATTCTTTGTCTTCCACTTTTGGAGGTTTGAGGTCCCAACACGGATGCCACTTCATGAGTCTGATTCAAACTGCTGGCAGACTTATGTTTCTTCTGCAGGCTTTGTGGGGAAGTCTTTTCACTTCCTCTTCCAGCTTTTAGAAGCCATCCTTATCCTTGGCTCATGACCCCAAATTGTGACCCTACATGTGATCCCTCTTCTCTCTCTGCTTCCCTCGTCACACCACTTTCTCTCTCCCATCATCCACTTTTCCTGACAAGACTCTTATTATTAATTGCCCCCCCCCCCCGCAGGAAAATTCAAGATAATCTCCCTATTTCAAGGTCTTTGACTTAATCACATCTTCAAAGTCCTTTTACCAGGTAGGAAGCATCATTCAGCCTATCACAACTTGTCCAATAGAAATCACTGCCCCCACGTCAGCTAACTGAGAACATGCCAGCATATAGGCCCAGTGCGGCCAGGTTTTCTGATTCTTTTGGGAAAAACCTAAAAATCCAGGTTTTTATGTGGAATCTTCGGGTTGTTTTTGAAGAGTGGCTGGGTCAAATGTTTAAAAATACAACACTGGGTGGACTAATGCTGCAGATCACATATGATAGGTGTATCAGGGCTGCTGTAACAAGTTACCAGAAACTTGGATTGCTTGAAACAATAGAAATGTATTCTGTCACGGTTCTGGAGGCCAGATGTCTGAAATCAAGGTGTGGGAGCATGGCCGTGCTTTTCCTGAAGGCGGAAGGGAAGGAGTCTTTCTTGCATCTTCTAGCTTCTAGTGGCTGCTGGCAATCCTTGGAGTGCTTTGACTTGTAGGACACATCCCATCATGGAAGCTCTGCCTCCCTGATCACATGGTGTTTTCCCCACATGACTGTGTCTGCGTCCAAGTGTCCTTCTTCTTGTAAAGGTACCAGTCACTGGATTGGACCGGCCCTAATCCAGCGTGACTTTTCCTTGACTTGATTACCTTTGCAAAGACCTCTTTTCCAAATAACATTATATGCACAGGCATGGGGACATATCTTTTGGGGGGATGAAATTCAACCCATAAACTTAGGTCTACTGTCCACGTGTAGCCCTCAGACCTCTGTCTTGAGATTTCTGTCTTAAGATGGGACACAGGAATGGGACCTCAAAATGGGTGCATTTTGAGAGTGAGTGGGGTTTGGTAAAGGTTCGGTGAAGCACATCATAATGTGCGGGCCCTGGTCAGGGGTGCCCTTGAGAGGAGTATCAAGTGCCCTTGATGGAACCTGCCATCAAGTGCCTCCGTCACTGAGGAAACGGTGGCACTTCCTCAGAGTGCCTTCCTCAGAGTGGCTATGGCAATAGTCACCATGGGTCTGTTTGACCCGGGCAGCTCTCGTGTCAGGCTCACCCACACCGTACAGTCGATCTCTGCATAAGGCCTTTGTTACTTATTCCAGCTTGACTCTTAGCCTTTGATAGAACAAGCCTGTGTAGAGTTTCAGCTCTGATCCTCTGATTCTCAACTCCGGCGACACTAAGGAATCCCTTGCAGATGTGGGGACCTTCCTTTTGAATCAGACTGCCCCAGGTCTGAGTTGAGGAGATGGAAGACAGAAAGGAAAGGGTTTGCCTCTTTGTGCTGGAAGGCTCATTACTTACATGGTCCTCTCTATCTGTGTGACTCCGTTCAATATCTGCCCACAACAGAGTCCCTAAGCAGGCTTCTAACTTAATATTTCATGCTAGGTCTTTAAAATCCATTATACAGGTTTATTGTAAATTTATATTATATATAATTTATATTAATTATACATTTATATTAAATATATAAATATATATTATAAAATAACCATAAATTTAGTACCGTAAATAATAGAAATTTTGAAACGAATGTAACACTGCATGTTAACTATACTGGAATTAAAACTTCATAAAAGTTTAAAAAAAAGCGCAAAAAAGAATGCAAATTTATTATCTTACAGTTCTGGAGATCACAAGTCCAAAATGGCTCCTACTGAGCCCAAATGGAGCAGTCAGCAGGCCTACTAGAGGCTCTGTTTCCTTGCCTGTTATAGCTTCTAGTGGCCATGTCCCCCCTGTTTCCATCTTCAAAGCCAGCAGCAGCAGGCAACACTGTCCTCACATCGTACACTCTGACTTCCTCTTCTGTCTTCCTCTTAAGGACCCTTGTGACTACATTGGGCCCATCTGAGTAACCTGGAATACTCGCCCTATTTTAAAGCATTTTGTAATGCACCCAGAGTTGTTGAATCACTCTGTTGTGCACCTGAAATTAATATAACATTGTAGGCCACCTATACTTAAATCTCACAAATTTTGAAAATTAAAAAAAAAAAAAAGTCAACTGAGTTAGCAACCTTAATTCCCCTTTGCTATAAAGCATAAAATTCACAGGTTCCACAAGGTAGGGTATGGACATCCTTGTGGGGCAGTTGGGGGTGGGGGGCTTTCCTCTGCCTACCACACAGACATATGAGATGGTGGGGGAGGTAGTCCTGGGGTGACTAGTTTAACCAAGAATGTATGGCCAATGTGTGGCTGAGAACTCATGCCCAAGTTTTCTACCTCTATAGCCTTTGGAAGGAATGGAGCAGTGAGGTTCATGGACCCCATTTCCTCCTTCTATATAATCCACCGTTGTATGGCTTCATGGTTACCCTGCTAACTGTCTTCTTCTTTTACCCTGTAGGGTTCTAATTCTTTAGAAATCAGCTTTCATTCCTTTCTCTGCAAAGGCATCTTAAAAAAGCACCTTAGATATTCCACCGACACTGTCCCCACATGGGAGGTTGGGAAGAATTATTGCCAGGACGACATTGTGTGGAAGGTGCTGATAGAAGAGGTAAAACAGGGCCACCTTTTTCAGACTAGAAGTCATTTCCTTGGAGCCAATGTGAGTGGTCATTTTGGCAATTTAGACTAGGGCCTCAGTTGTCTAGCATTTTTGTGTTTTATCCATTAGATGAGGCAAGACTGCTTTGACGTATTATCTTCCCACAAAAGAAATCTTGGCATATGCCCTCTATAGTATTATTCTCTGGGTTTGATTAGCCAAGGACAAAGAGGCAATTGTGAATGGCCTGTGTGTGATCTGGCCTCTTTTTAGGCTGTGGGGAGGGAGAGGCGGGCTTTTCTTTCTCTCATTCGGCCCTTTCTTAGCTCTCAAAATGACCTGGTTTTCTTAATAAGCATCATTAGAAGTACACTTTGTAAAAGAAAGAAGATTTCCTGTAAGATCGGTTCAACATAAAGGGATTATCTCAACACTTAAACACTTACACATTGTAAATGATCATAGACGAATTTCTCAGTGGCTTCTTTCTCTAAAAGTTCAAACAGCTGGAGCTATAAATCAAGAATAGAAGATAAAAATGAAAAGGAAGATGAAAGCTACATCTATAAGATGTCAACTTACTGTTATTTCCTCAAGGGAGCTTTTTGTTTCATTGCAAAATCACTTTGCTGAAACCTGACAGATTATCTTACACAAGGCCATGTGAAACATACATGGTGAAAGTGGATGGCTACCGGCCTCCCTTTTACAGTCCTTAGTTTTAAACCAATGTGATATCTTGAGCAGTAAAGCCATAAACATATTTTTTCTTAATAGGTAAAATTCAGCAATGTTGAAGACAGTGGATATGGAAATGCATTTTGTGATGATTTCAGGTCTGGGATATTCTTGATCCTGGTGCATTCTGGAAGGAAAAATTCACAGCAGGCACTTCCAACCCTGGGTTCTTACCTCTTTGGAAGATGCCTTTGGCCACATCTGACCCTTCTAGGAGCATCGATGGGGCTCCGCCTTCATTTCCATGTTGAGTCTAGAATACTGTCAGGTTTCATTGGCCCTTTATCTGGCAGGACGGGCAGGGGTGCACTCACCCGCTCGGTGAAATCATCGCCCGAGTAGTCAGGATTGGAGGTGACATAAGTGTGCTCAGTGACAAGACAGACGGTGGCCTTCTCAGCTGCTCCTGCCGCCCACAGGATGCCAGCCAGTGCCGCAGCCAGGGCCTGCTCTTGCTCCTGTTTGCTGACTGCACACAAACTGTAATATGGGAGGTTGGGTATGAAAACACTGGCATGGACAGTCACCTAGCTGAATGTGAGGTGCCTTCACTTTTAAGTCCCCTGCTGCATACCAGATGGGTCTCTTTGCTTCCTTCATCAACCCACCCCGTGAGACGGTCGCAGAGGGCCTTGTCTACACTCTGTCACTGGCAGTGGCATCCTCACAGCAGCGTACTATTTCTCTTGGTGATCTTAGCCAGTCCCACCCTGTGAGTTACCCCCTCCCCCCCGGAGTCCCCACCGCTGTCCTCTCGCCGAACTCCAGCAGAGACTGATCCAAACGTTTTAACCCAGGAACACAGACCCTTTGCAAGTGCAGCCCCGTCCAGTGTTATCTCCCAGGTTTCCATTCTGCAAACCTGCTGCCCCGCATGGACCAGTCCCCTGAACGTATTTTCTGTATCACCCCTCCATGCCTTTTCTCATGCCCTTGTCTGCCTTTAATGTGCTTGCCGTGTCTGTGCTCCCCCATCATGTCTGTCCCACGCAGCACTGGAGGCCCGCTTCATGTTGCCCATCCTGACTTGTATAGCAGGCACACTCACTGTCCCCAGCATTGCTCTAAGCACTTCATACCTGTCCCCTCATCTAATCCTCACAACAACCCTGTGAAGTAGATACTACTATTACTGCTGATTCAGAGGTGAAGAAAGAAAGAGGGGTTGAGGAATTGGTCCCCAGTTGTTCACCTTGAAAGTGGTAGAGTGGTGATTTTACACCAGGCAGGCTGGTTCCTGACTCCCTGCTCTCAAGCATTATACTCTCTGGAGTGATCCTGGGCTGTCAGGATTTCCCAGGGAATGGGAGCCAACCTTTATGCGGTAGACCTTTGCTCTGCTTGTTTTCTAAATATTTAACACTGACAACTGTTGTCCCGATGGAGAAACACGTGATGGGGTTTCTCATCGATGAAACTCAGCGATGATTTCTATAATCCCGCTACCTCCGTGGCAACACAGAAATGAGAAACGAGGAGTGCTCCATAGTCTAAAAGCCTAATTTGAGGAGGTGGATGGGAATAAAACAAAATGTTCTGAGAGTGAAGAAGAAGGAGACAGAACTTGGGACCGAGAAGGTTCTGGAAGGTTTCATGGAGCGGGTCAAAGCCAGTGCCCGGCTGAGGTGGGAAGTACAAAGGCCCCCACTTTGTTCTTTGAAAATGGGGCCACTGAGGCTTTAGAGCTCTCATGGGATCAGACTGAGGCTGGGCGTCACTGGAGACCACAATCTTCCTCAGCTTCTCCTTCCCTCTCCTTTTCCTTCACTCTTCCAGGTTTCTCCTGAGGCCCGAAGGGGAGCAAATCTTGCCAGCCCAAGATGCCACTTTGGCATGTGGACTATTTTAAACTGGTTATTTTTAAAAAATTACAGACTCAAGAGAAGGTCCGAAAACTCAATAGAAGTTGCCCTTTTGTAAAAGACGTTATAGGAGAAATCTCCGTATGTAAGGGGATGTCCTCATGGGAAGAGGGGGATGGCTCTAAATCTCTAGAAACTCCTATCAGTGGAGAAGGCACAGACTTAATGTGCAAAACAACCCTATGCTTGTTCACTGCGCTTTCCCCTGTAATCTCCCATAACTGACTCCCCACCCCCAATATCTTCTTTTGTCTTTAGCTAAAGTTGGTATTTAACGTGATGCCTTTGGCTATTTGGGGGAATTACAGAGATTTCCTAGGTCTCTCCCATGTATACAAAAGGTATACATGTTATTTTTTTTTTTTAATTTTTTAATGTTTATTTTTGAGAGAGAGAGAGAGAGAGAGACAGAGTGTGAGTGGGGCAGGAGCAGAGTGAGAGGGAGACACAGAACCCAAAGGAGGGTCCAGGCTTTGAGCTGTCAGCACAGAGCCCAACGCGGGGCTCTAAGCCACGAACTGTGAGATCATGACCTGAGCTGAAGTCGGACACTTAACCAACTGAGCCACCTGGGCGCCCCGAGGTATACATGTTATTAAGCTCGTGTTTGTTTTCCTCCTATTAATCTGTCTTCTGTAAAGTTAATTATTAGACTAGCCAAAGAAGCTAGAGGGGTAAAAAAAAATTTTTTTTTTTTTTCTCTCCAACAGGGCCTTCCCTTCATAAATCACTTGCATAAAGAATTCTCATCTCTGGCTCTGCTTTTCAGGAAACTGGCAATTCATGACCTTAGAATAAATTATACATTTAGTTCCTGTTTTGAGTGATAACTTACCCTGCTGAGGGCAGATATATACCTTAACTTATTTATATTTTTTCTAACATCAAGCATAGAGCTTTGCCCATGATAGGGACTTGACTTCTTTTTTTTTTTTTTTTTTTTTTTTTTTTTTTTTAATTTTTTTTTCAACGTTTATTTATTTTTGGGACAGAGAGAGACAGAGCATGAACGGGGGAGGGGCAGAGAGAGAGGGAGACACAGAATTGGAAACAGGCTCCAGGCTCTGAGCCATCAGCCCAGAGCCTGACGCGGGGCTCGAACTTACGGACCGCGAGATCGCGACCTGGCTGAAGTCGGACGCTTAACTGACTGCGCCACCCAGGCGCCCCGGGACTTGACTTCTAAGTAAAGTAATCTGAACCGATTTTCTTGAATAGGCAACTACCAAACACAGTACTTTGTTAGCCTAGTTAAATAAGAGAATTATCAGGGCTTTATCGGGGCTTTTAAAAATCACCCCTTTTGTTCCTCCTTGAAATTGTCAGTTTGGGGCTTCCCATCAAATATTTTCAAGTAAGCCCACCTGAGACCAGGGGCATCATTTTAGCTGACAGGAAGGTCTGCAGTGGAGCACTAAAACTGTCAACGTTATTCCTGCAACCAAACATTGAGAGTGACTCCAGGAAAGTCCTCCCCAATCACAAAATCCCATCCGTCTGGGAGAACCAGAGCCGTTTTTGTCTCGTGAGGCAAGTCTACTTCCTGAGGTCACCCAGGGGATTTTCCATAATGACCGTTTGGCACATAACAGTTCTTGTGACATGAGGAATGTGTCTAAGAAGTGCTTCTAGGCCTCTTACCTGTGAAAGTTACAGTCCTTTCCCTTCCTGGTAAACAACAAGCCTTTGATGATGAATCCTTGAACTGCCATCTGAATGCTTCGGGCACCTCCCTGAAACGGGGAAGATAAATAGTGAGGTGTGTGAGGCTGGGTGGGGGCAGGCTGTACAACCGTAATGGAACCTCTTGGGGCCAATATGACAAAGAAGAACTCTGGGAAATGGATGTGACCTATTCTCTGCTGACCTGTCCCTCCTGGTATATACAGCATCCCCTTAGCTTAGTGAAGGGACACTGTACTCCATACGTGGGTTGTGGTCAGATGACATGGCTGGGCCGGAATCTTCATTGACCAGCTTCAGTAGACCAGCACCTGGGGACATCTGTCCACTTCCACCCTACCTTCTCTATGCTCCTGCTTCATAGCAAACTTTTGGATTTGTAGGATGTACAGAACTTGTTGGCTGGTCTTTGAAATCTCTGTGTGACTAGTAATTGATGACCTGAATTACTGAGATTTTAAACAAGCCAGAAAGAAGCTCCTGGATCTCCTCCTGCCTTCTAAATCCTCAGGGATACTTAGAACTTGGAGAGAAGAGCCAGGAAACCTCGAATTTGGGAGGGCAGGGTGTGCGACAGCAGGGAAGGAGTGTGAGACTTTGCTATAACCCTGACAGTAAATTGTAATTTTAAATAGTCTCATATCATTTAAGGCTAAATGTTAAATTATATTAAATATGCTTTGACAAATGACTGTAATGAAAACATACATTCATATGGATAAAGATGGAAGGAAACATGGCTAGGGAATATGGGATTAGGATTTTTAAAAAAAATTTTTTACTTACTATTACCTTTCCCACTTCCAAAGTGAAAGCCAGGTCAGAAAAAGGATCATGGAACCTGAAATAGGCCTTTTTCCAGTCATAGCTGAAGACATGGATAGTATTTCCAAAGAGGCTCTGCCGTAACTTCTGAGAAGAGGGGAAAGAAATGATTCAAACAAAGATGATTCTTCTTAGACACATTCTTCCATCTAACAGCCTTAAGTAAGGTGGTGGGATTGTGGAGGTGGGCCTGTCCCCTCCCTACATCCTGGTTTACATTTTACCCTATTCCTCTATTTGTAATTGTAAAGTCTTGTGTGAAAGGTTCACACCAGGTTCCCTTAGACTATTGTATCCCGAAGGCTCAGTGTGTTAACCTTGTGCCCTGTTGTCCCCATCTGATTTTTTCCCTTGTGTCTGTCTTCCCTTCCATCGCCAGCCATCTCTCCTTTATGCTTTGCAGTCCGGCCTGGGCCACTGCTCTGCCCCTCTGCCTCCTGTCACTGACGATCCATGTCATGGGCATCCGGGATACCCATCTGCAGCCATGACTCTGCAGTGCTCGCCTCCCCCAGCTTTGAGTCCTTCTCTCTTGCTCGAAGAAAGAGAAACACACAGGACTCTGTTTCTAGCTTGAGTACAATATTGATTTAAATGATACTAAACAGGGGCACCTGGGTGGCTCAGTCAGTTAGCTGTCTGACTTCGGCCCATGTCATGATCTCACAGTTCATGGGTTCAAGCCCTGCATCGGGCTCTGTGCTGATGGCTCAGAGCCTGCAGCCTGCTTCGGATTGTGTGTCTCCCTCTCTCTCTGCCCCTCCCCTGCTCACGCTCTGTCTCTCTCTCTCCTTAAAAAATAAACGTTAAAAAGATTTTTTTTAAATGATACTAAACAATCATTCTCTGTCCTCTTGCCCCCCAATTTTTAAGGTTTTGCTGGGTATCCTATAGCACGTTGAGATTGGAGAGGGTCTTTTAAGGCTTCCCAGAAAAAACAAGCCTTTATAAATCAAATACGTGAAGAAAGGGGAATCCATCCACAATCAGGGGCATAGTAATTGCTTAGCATGTGCTTGGTCCTACCTATGTGGGGTATAGATATGTAAAAAGTCTAATACCCCACAACTGTGTACGAGATAGAATGTGTGAAGTTCCAAAGGAAAAAGTACCTTGAGAGAACAGAGGGAGGAGAATTTCTGACTGAAGAGCTCAGGAATGCTTCATGGAAGAGATACACTTGAACTAGGCTGGCCAATGGCATCTAGCATTTATTGAGTATTTTCTATGTACCACACACTGGTCTAAGTGCTTTACATTCATTATGTTAATTTAATTATTTGAGGTAGATACTCTTATTATCCTCCTTCCACAGGGAAGTACCCAGTGGTAGAAACTGCTGGAATTTGCAATTCCAAACACTACTTCTCTGCCTCCCCAGCTTTAAGTATGCGGCATCCTTGGGGTGTCTGGGTGGCTCAGTTGGTTAAGTGTCTGAATTCTGCTCAGGTCATGATCTCACAGGCTCAAATCATGATTTCACAGTTTGTGAGTTCAAGCCCCACGTCAGGCTCTCAGATCCTCTTTCTCCCCTTTCCCCCTCCCCTGCTCCCACTCTCTCTCTCTCTCTCTCTCTCTCTCTCTCTCAAAAATACATAAACATTTAAAAACAAGTATGTGTCATCCTGTAATTGCTGTCCTTTTTGTGGGCCAATCATTATTTAATTAATATTTTTCATTAGCTTGAGCTACTTACTCTTTTATAAATTAAAAAATGCTTATTTAATAGGGACACTTCTTGTCACATCTTTAAGTGGGAATCAAAATCACTTACTTAAAAAAAATAAATCACCATATTTAAAAAAAATAATGGAAATAAAACAATGTTATTGACTTATGCTAGAAACTATCGCCTATGAAAGCTTTGCCTGAGCTCACATTCTATTTAATTAAGAAAGGAAGTAGGAAGTGTTAAAGAGGTGTGAACGTGTGCACCACTTACAGAGTCTTTCTTCAGGGCCTACCAGCATGAAGAAGGGCTCAGTGAAGAAGGTGACGCAGTCTATTTAATGTCACTTAATAACGTATCCCTAAAAGCAGCCATGCTCTAGCAGAGGCACACATCCCATACTCTGGGACAGACCACATAATGACCTATTTCCTATAATGGAGGGGAGGCTGGACAGAGAAGACCTGCAAACACACACACACACACACACACACACACACACACACGCATGCACGCACACACACAGAGAGCACCCAGAGTGTCCAAGGACAGGGGGTGGTTCAAAGGAATGAGGAGACTCTGTGGCAAAAAGGAAGGATGAGCCCAATTTATCCAGAGCCTAATGGTTTCTAATAAGGACAGATGCAGGAGAGCATCTGGAAAGTTCTCCCCTTGTCAGACCAGGGTCTGGTTCCATGGCTGGAGTTTATTTCCTGGCCACCTCTGCTCCCCCCTTGAAAGAAAAGATTGTCTCTACAAAGAAAGAGAGGCAGGTGCATTTCAGTGTGAGCCCAGAAGTGCACTTGAAGACAAATGGTTTGTCCGGTGGCTCAGGGCAACAGCAAGAGAAGGAGAGGGAGTAGAAGGGCATAGAGTCAGCTCCCGGAAGACACAGACTCGATGTGTATCATGGCCAATGAGCCACCAACCCAGGCCATCCCCAGCAGAGGACTGAAAATGACATCAAGGCTGCACAGCACAGAAGAAAGACCGAGCCCTCCCCACTCCTGTGTTGAGAAGCCCAGTTCTGCTCCTCACTGACCGCATGAACTTGGACTGATTGCCCATCCTCTGTAAGATTTTATTTGCTTATCCTGAAATGGGGTCAACCCTTGCTCGGCCCACATCACGGCTATTATTGAATGGGAAGACATATGGAAAAGGGCTTTGGGAACCGTTAAGTGCTGATTAAATGCAAGGTGTTCTCCCTTTATGAACACACAACCTGTCTGCCCTGGAATGCTGTAGGGAACAGAGCCCCACCACAGATGAAAAAAGACCAGGGCCTGGCAGGAGGAGGGGAGGGGAAGCCGTGTATAAATGTGAGAGATTAAAACTGTTGAGACTAAGAAGGCTTAGAATTCAAATTCAATGAAAACAACTCTGCCAGCCAAACCAAGCTCCTGTTTTGGTTGCTGGATGTCACTTCCAACTTAGGGAGTGTCACCATCCAGATGCACCTGTGTCCGACTTAGAACAGAGAGGCGGCAGGCCTCTCAGGCCAGACCCACTGGCCAGTGTGACAATAAAGGTGACTCATCTTACCTATGTAACGTTTACTTTCATATCAAATATAATTTCTAACGAGATTAGCCTGGCTTATATTCAGTAATATGCATATGTCATTGTGCCGCCTGGTAACTGGACACAAATGGTAAATGGTCCTAATAAATGACTGAAATGATCATTATTATTTAACACAAGCACGGTTTATAGTTTTTCTCTTTTCACTTTGTTAGTTTTCCAGGATTTGTAATGAATAACTCTTTCCTGATTGCTATGATGATGATAATGATGATCATTATCTCGCATGCCCACACATACACACACACACACTCATGCACTCACACACACACACATGCACATGCTCGCTCACACACACGCACGCACACATACACACGCACACTCACACACACATACACCCCCGAAGACAGAGGTCCTGGATCATTCTTCCTGATGTGTTTAATTTCCTTGCCTTGACTGCCTTTTTTCTGGTCCCTGGGCTTAGATTTTCCCTGTGACAACCTTGCCCATCCTGTCCTCTCCCACCTCTGCACCTGTCCGCACCCCCAACCTGAGATAGAATAATTTTCTGAAGCTTCTTCTCTACATCATTTCTTTCCTTAGAAATTACTGGCTCATCATGGAATCAGACTTTCGAGTTAGCAAAACCTAAGAAACGTTTCTCTCCTAGCCTGTCAAATAGAGTGGTTAGATTCTTGGCTTGATCATGTTCACCATGGATTCCTCAGCATCTGGTACAGTGCCGGGTGCACAACAGGCTGTCCAGAAGTAGTTGCTGATTTTTAAAACAATCTAATTCAGCCCTTTCATTTTACAATGAAAAGCTTTGGGACACAGAGCGGTTACGTGTATGTAAATGGCAGCTCCAGCACCCAAATGCAAGCCTTTCGACTTGTATGGTAAGAGTCCCAGCAGGAAACAGATGGCACACTCAAGTCAGGATAATTAACTTGAGGAAAGTTTAAAACAGGGACTATTTACAAAGATATGGACTGCATGGGGGGAAACCACAGTGGCCAGCGCAGGGTCCCACAGCTAGCAACAGTATCTCCCGTAGACCTGGAGGGGCTAGGAGGGAGGAGGGGGAACCTGAAGCAGAAAGGACAGAGTCCTAGGGAAAGAGCTTCCAGAAGAGGAGAGGGATTCTGCCAGCTGTGCACAGCCTGTCTTCTTTCCCTTTCCTCCCTCCAGGCCCCCTCCAAGGCTCCCATTGTTCAAACTCAATAGGAAGCCGGAGGAGGAGGGAGCCCTGGTGATGGAGTCCCTACAGGTCAGTCTTGGCAGAAAGCAGGTTGGGGAAGGGTGGAGTGCCTCTGAAGGAGCACCTGGATGATACCCATTGCCCTGCGCTGAGATGTGGCTCTAGGGGATTGTCCAGAGCAGTGAATTAATTAAGCAAACATCTCCTGAGGTCTGACTGTTGGCCAGGCCTTCGGCTGGGGCACCAGGCTGTGCTTCCGGCTTCCAAAAAGCCACCCCACTACCTATCATCCTCCATTGGAGCTTCATTCCTCTGGGGCTCCGCCAGAATATTTTGATCTCCCGGCATTGCATTGTTTAATACCATCCTGCTGGCTGGTATTGCAAAGACACCAGGGGTTTGTTTATTGACTGCGGATAAAAGAGGCTAAGGGATTGTGTTCCAGGCTAGGTTCTGGAGAAGGGCCTCGTTGGGCAGGAGGGTGGGAAACTGCCCTGGAGGGAAGGCAGGCAGTTTGGGGTAAGGGCAGGGAGGTGCTGGGGGAAGAGCAGAGGGGAGGAGGATGCTTACCTTCTCCACAACCTTACCTGGGCCGGGAGCCTTGGCCGGCATTCGCTCACGGTAAGATGTTAGGTTGGGGGAAGGCAGAAGGCTGCAGTGTCAGAAATGGGGCAACAAAGGGTGAGAAATAAAAGAGCTGGGGAGGGAGAAGGTTCATAGTGTGCTCCACCCACCCCCTCCTTTCTCAGCAGAATCCCAGCAAGGAGTGAGTGTGCTCAAGTCAGGAAATCCCATGCATCCCTACCCTCAACAGGGAGGGAAAGAATGGCAGAATGACAACAAAAGGCATTCTCAAGTGAGTATTAGGATTCAGTAGCTCTGATAATTTGCCAGGCAGCTGCACGGCTGAAACGTCCTCGATTAGAATTGGTCAGGCTTCCAAATCGCCCCCCTGGAATCCACGTGTTCAGAATCCCAAGGCTCAGCATCTCGAAATCCCAGGGTGTGTTTAATTAATGCTACTGCTATTTAAAGGACACACTATCATCTGGCCCACATAATGGGAATAAATTCAAATTTTTTTTTTTTTTTTTTTTTAAGAAGAAAATCGATTATCTCCACTTCTGGGACTTCCTTAACACTCCATCGACTCGGGTTCAGGCTACAGTGGTCTGATTCTTTTGTCCCCCAGGCTCTTCCAGAGGGAGAGAATTACCTTGGAAAAGTTATGGGGGAGGTCTGCAATCACACCACGTTTGTGTTGGTAGAGAAGTCTCAGACCGAGACTCTCTTGCTTCCACAGTATAAAGAGAAACCAGAAGATTTTGGAAACATCTGCGAATGTTTTTTTTTTTTTTCCTGTTTTTAAAATTTCTATGTGAGTTTTTAAAAATAGATTGCACATTCACATGGTTCAAAATCCAGAGAGTACAAAAAGGTATGCTGAGGGAAAACTCCCTCCCACCGTGTCTCCTGCCCTACTCTTTCCGGGCACTGTTACATTATCTGAAGCCTTCTAGAATTTCTGTAAGCCTATATGGGCAAATGCCAATATGCCATCATAGTTTTGTCTTGTATTCATAGACAAGGTGGCCTACTGTCCCACTGTGTATAAATTCTAAAATGACCGTAGAAATTCATTACAGAGCCAGTAATACATTTTTATTAAAGATTGTTTGTTAAAAACATTATCTCATCCATTAAAATACAGGTAGTCACTCTAACGTCTGGTGCTATAGTCCACTCTAGGCAGAATCACCACTGAGGAGGGAGACTAACAGGATTACGTATTCATTACTTGTCTTCATCCCCTGAAATGTGAGCCATTCACTAGATACATGAGACACAAGTTAAGGCCCTATCCAGGGGCTGTGAGGCCAATGACCCGGTGCAGCATCTCATGAGAGGCCTGCTGACCTATCTTCCTGTGACATCTGGCATTTGAGCAAAAGAGGGAAGGTGGATTGAGGCAGAGAGATTTGTGATGAGAAAGAACAGTGGGCCCCTAAGTACATTTATACTGCAAATATGACAGGAAAGAAAGTCGCCCTATGAAGCCTGTGAGGAAATGCATGATAAAAAAGAACGCGGGACCCTGTATTGGATGATGTCCCATCTGAGGACCTTAAGGGAAGGCTATATTCAGCGTTGGAAACACTACAGCCAGAGCCAACTTAAAAAGCAGACGGAGGGGCCCCTGGGTGGCTCGGTCGGTTGAGCATCCGACTTCGGCTCAGGTCATGATCTCGAGGTCTGTGAGTTTGAGCCCCGCGTCGGGTTCTGTGCTGACAGCTCAGAATCTGGAGGCTGCTTCGGATTCTGTGTCTCCCTCTCTCTTTCTGCCCCTCCCCCGCTCATGCTCTGTCTCTCTGTCAAAAATAAATAAACATTAAAAAAAAAAAAAAAAAGAAAGAAAGTAGACGGAGACCGTGTGGTTTCCCCAGAAGGGGTTCCAGTCCCCACTCATCCCTCTCAGGGACACTGTGTGCAGTGCACAGACTGTGGAACTGGATGTACAGGACGGGCCTAACTGTAGGACAAGTGTTGTTGGTCCTCGCCCATGTGACCAAGCTAGTCTTCGGTGGTTTCTGCAAGGTTGCCCTGGTGTAGGGTGGCATGTCCTCAGGAAGGAAGTGCTTCTTCCAATTCTTGTTCTTAGGGTCCCCAAGAAAAGTCTCTGCCTGAGGCTCCAGAATGTAGTGTGGAGTTTGAAGGGACAGGGTAAATGTGGGAAAACGGTCCTGAAAAGCCGTGAGTTTCACTATGATTGCAAGAATTATCTTGGGTGCAATCTAACTGAAGGAATCTCTCACCCTAGCTGGTACTTTTCCCCTGGCTTGATACATGCCTTAGCTTCCCCAGTGCCCAATCGCACCTCTTTGACCTTGACAGCTGGGCCTTCGGACATTTGCCAAGGCATTGCCTCCAGCCTTGTCCTGTTTGATCCAATGAGATGCTGCTAGTTTGCCTCCTAGCTGGGTCTGTGCCTCGGCTGGTGGGGGTCTTTGCTCCGACTCATCAGGTTTGGAACTAAGCAAATGGTCCCTGGGATCGGTAGCTTCCAGATCCTTAGGTTCTTTTCAAACCTGGATGTTATTCGGCAGCCCCAGAAAACATTTCTTTCCTGAGATCAGCTCCTTGCCCAGGCCCAGGCCCGGCACAGGGCTTCACCTCCCTCCCTCCTGCCCATGCACAGACAGGGTCCTGCCTTACACAGCTGCATGGCTTTATGCATGGTTGTTTATACCACTCGTCACCTGCCCTACCCCACACTATAGAGTGACTTATTTGAAATTAACTCCCTCACTACCTCAAATTTAATTGTCACACAAAGGAAGTGAATAGAGAGACTCTCAGAGTTGGGGAGGAAAAGACTGTAAAATCACCAGTGTCCTTGAAAAACACCATAAATAAGTCATTTTAATTATATTCTCCCTTTACCAATAACAACCGTGTGTAGTCTTATCTTCAATAATACTGTCACATGACAGGAGATAAGATTCCCCAGCCTTGTTGTTGGGGGAAGATTACGTTTCCTTTCATGTTTAATTGACAAGCTATACTTACCGTGGCCATTGCCAGGGAGATAGGAGAGCCGGCTGATTTTGAAGAGATGATAGAGGGTTTGGGGATAGAACAAAGGCTACTGGATGGCAAATGTCCTTGTCCCCTGGGCTGAGGTATCCCTGTTGCATTTTCAGTTTCATCAGCTGATACGTGGTTGCCGTCATGATTCTGTATAAAATGCCACCACCAAAAAACAAAGCAAACAGAGCTGGTGACGACCTGTTTTCCCTCTCTTCTCTCTTTCTCTCTGAAAAATCAGTGTTCAGAAAATATTGTGTCCCTTTGAAAGACATCTGAAAATGGTGATAAATAGCAATAAAAGAGGAAGGAAAATCCCAGTGTCTGTGTCAAAGGGGTTTCTCACAAGTTTTATGTGGCTGGGAGAGGTTAAATGTAACTATGGAAACATAATTAATGCTATCAAGACCTTGACTTGAAATTATGTTTAGAGAAAAATGTAAATGTCACTGTCTCTTATTTCGAGAAGACAACATTTTATAAACATTGAATCTTTCCAGTCTATACGCGATGTTTCTCATTGTGTTTTTAACTGGCCGATAAAGGAAGTCAGGCTACCTCCTGTTAATTCTCTCGGATTCCTGCTCCCTAAGAAGTGAGTATAATCTTTTTTTTTTTTTCTTTAAAAAAATCCATCCCCTCCCTTTAAGGGAAAAAAATCAACTTTTTCTTTTCTTGACTGATTCTTATGGCATTTAAATATGTTAGAATCAACCCTTCTTCCAGTTTACTTAACTTCTATACTAATGTCATGAAACAAATCTGCCCTGTTGGTAGCTAAAACATGAAGGAAACTGCCTTCTTAGTTTTCTGGATTCCTAGAGGCAAAGATGCTCTCTTATCTCAGAAACACAGCATCCCAATGGCAGACTACTATTGGGATATGATGCATTTTGTAAATCAAACAGAAAATCTTTACATTTGTGGCAATGGGTTTCCCTCACCCTGTATAAAGCGTAACTTGACATTTATAAATTTTTTTCCCTTCAAAGATTGTTTTATCTTTTGAATATTCTATTCTCCCAAATGGTAGCTATTTCCATTTAATGCTTCCAGGACTAAAATGGAAGCATTATCTCCCTGATTCTAATTTAGACTATGGTTAAGAAAGTTTTAGCACAAATAAGGCTTTTGATTACAGGTCACTTGTAGGAAGATGCTTTAGCGTTACCGTTAAAATATTAACAATTCAGTTGTTTGATCATATCATATATTAGTGATGCGAAAATCACCCTAATATTTTGTGCCGTGTTTGTTCAGAGACTGAATTAATATCTGAAATACCAAGTTCATTACCTTCTAACCTTTTCAGGTTACACGACATATCTTTCATCTTATAATGTATAACAGATTTTAAAATACCTTGTAACACCTGAATTCGGTCACCTTTCCCTTATTTGAAAATGATGAAGGAAAACAGTTTTTCAGAAGCGGAATAAAGATGATGGCTACTTTCAAAATCACTTTTCTTCACGAACACTGAAGCATTTGGCTATCAGAACCTAGTGTTATTTCACAAGTTTAAGAACTCTAGATTCTAATATTACTTTTTTCTAAAATAATAACCATATGGTGCTCTTAGTGATGAAAAGTACTCTTAAAAGTAGGAAGGGATTTTCATGAAAAAAGAAAGCATGAGAAAAGATTTCAAAGGGCTTTCTAGTTTTATGTGTTCACACATTAAATGCTGGGTGCCTGAGTGACATTCTGTGAGTAAAATAAATGCAGATTATGCTGTTAATGTGATTGTTTGAAGAAGCAACGAGAGGAAAACACACTGGCTTTGAGAAAAGTAATTACCTGAGGAGTTGCATTATTGGTTCCCAACCTGTAAATGAAAGAGAAAACATCAAGGAAATGACTCACTCTTACTCAACCCACAAACCTCCTCAAACCCAACCTTGCTAGGGCAGCGTCTCTCTTCAAATGGTTATACCCGAAGCATCTTAAATGTAAACCCATAATGGAGACTTCTCATGTAGCACAACATAAAAGCTGATTGCTTGCTTACACACCAGAAATCCCTCTGGTTCTAGAGAAACGAGGAAACAAGAACATCTTACCCGCCATAACTAAAGATCTCCCGCCATTTGTCAAGAAATGAAATTTTCCTAGTTATCTCCTCTAAA